TCTTGGCCTTGGTAGCCTTCATTGCCTTTGCAGGAGCCATGCTTTCCAAGGATCTACAGCAAAATGTCACGAACACGCAGCTTGAGCCAGACCTTTTGGATCAGAGGGATAGAACTGTTGAGAGTTTTCCATGTGAAGAGCAATGGTGGAAGCTACCAATGCTTAGTGCTTTAAGATGAGACAGTGGTGGAACAAGCTGTGCCTAGGCCAATGTCGAATTTCGTTCCAGTGCTTAAAGTGACTGAAATGTGATTCGAATTCTGCCCTTCGGTCTAGCCGAGCTCTCCTCTGCGGCGCGAGGCGACGTCCTTGGTGACCGGGTGGCCTTTGCAGGTGCTGTGCCTGGCAACTCGCTCCGCTTTATGAAAGCGTGCAGAGTTTTCTCAAAGGAAGAGACTGGTGAGACCTAAGGCCTTTGAGAAAGATTTGTAGAGAGGAAGCTCACTCTAGAGTCTCTAGAGGTCGAAAGAGGTTTCTGAACGCTGAGAAACTCCCAAGGCATTCCGGTTAGCAAGGTGTGGGGAAGCCCAAGGCCTAAGGCTTGGCTTAAAGGTCTTTAGGAAGCACTCTTGTGAACTGCATTTACGTGTCGGTATTTTTCTTCTTTGGACCTGATCAAGAGCCTTCTTCTTTTTATTATTCAAATGTTTAGTATATTTTACTTTTTGCTCTTTCCCCTGTTCTGCTTGTGGGTAGTGTACGGTTTCATTCTGTCTCCCGATTCCAGGACGAATGAGGTCAACTCGTGGCCGCCTTCTGCGGAGGAAAACCACACTCTCCACCTTGGCTCGGCTCGAAAGATCGGTCTGGGACGAAGTCGGAGAGCGGGTCGGAGAGGAGGTATCGTGGCCGAAGCCGATGATCGAAGTGCTAAGATGGTCGCCCACACAAGTAATGTAAGAGACTCTTGGGCGCAAACGCAGACTGGCTGTTGGATGGAGATATCGAAGGTGCTGGCTGTGGTGGAGACCTCTCACGCCAAGCCGGTCCACTGAGGCAAAGGGACAAGCAATGCCTCCAACCTACTAGCTTCTTGCTACTAGTAGCGATGGCCTCCACCCTAGTAGCGATGGCCTCCGCCCTAGTTAGGCCACGCCATACCCAACAAGCGACAATCATACCCTCCCATGCCCTTCCCTCCTATTATGCCCTTCCCTCCTTGGCTTCTTGATGTTTCCTTCTTGCGATTCCTTCGGTTTTCTCGTCCTCTTCTTTCTCTTTTCCCATGTCCTCGTCCTTTTTCTGCTTTCTCTAGACCTTTATATCGTTTTGTCCTTCCAATTGTACAATTCCTTTTCCTGCACCAAGCGGCAGCGCCCGCTGCGGCGCTCGAAGCTCGACCGGCGAAGCATCGTCCACTTCCTCGCCCAGTGGCGTGGGTTCCTGAGGGCGTCGGCAGGGTTCCTTCCCTCTTAGACGGCCTCCAACCTAATCTTTTTGAATAGTGGTTCATCACAATTGAAGAGAACTAGGAAGATTAGGAAGAAGCAAATCCGCCAGTCTCGACTGCATTCATTGACGCTGCACACACTGCACTCACTTTGGACATCTACAACGCTTCCAGCTGTACTGGGAAAGACAATACGGGGCGCCTTTGCCTTCTCTTCAGGTGGCTCTGAGGTGAACCACCTAGTGACAGTGAACTAAAAACAAAAATCTGTGCAGGCTTCGCCTTTTTGTCGACCGCAACATCGAAACAAAAAATAAGAAAACCTGACTGCTGCGATAGACGGAACCAAAGCCAATATGCAATCTTGACTCTACTGCAAGGAACCACGTCGTGCCTGAACGATGGAAACCAAGAGGAACTTTGCGCCTGCAAAACCCACAGTTCTTTCCGCTTGGGATGTGGGCTTGCCAGGAAAGACTCATTGTCCTGCCTTCTCCGCAGCTTGTGCAGGCACCTCCGGCTCTAGCCTGCCCCATCCACGTTTCTGGGTATGTCGCCGTGCCTATTTATCCTGGAATCATTTGGGATACAAGCGTGTCCTGTCTCTGAGAATCTTTGATGCCACGCCATGCTCTTTTCACTACTTTTTCTACATCACAGAGGTGCTGCTGACGGTGTCTAGTAAACAATTCACAAAATCCATGGATGCGTCTCCAACAAGTACTGCGTAAAAAAACTTCAAATACTCTTCAAATCTATCCTCTGAGGGTTGTCCAAGGAATCCCACCTTTAAGGCAGGACTCTCAGGAAGTCCCTCCAGCGGGCTGCAGTCCGATGGTTTGTCTCCCAACAGCAAAACGTGACTCCGATCTTGAGCTCTCAGCTTGAAGTCAGGCACTCGTTCGAGAGCTAACTGCTTCTCCCTCGAAGTCACACTCACTGTGGCTTCATCCAAGCTGTTCGCCAAAAGACTGAGATTTGATGGAAGTGGAGCGCCCGCATTCTCGAGGACAGGCACCAACAATTCCCGAAGACCAGCAGATACCAACAGCAATGGCACATCCCACGTCTCTAACCATTTGAAGGTCTCTTGGATCTTTTCCCTGGCCCTTACATTGCTTTTGGCCACACAATGCTTGGCGAATCGCTTCAGACCCTCTTCAGAGCTCAGCTTGTGGAAGCGTTCGAACCATTGACGCGTGGCCTGGCTCCGGCGAAGCGGGTCATTCCCGCAGCGAGCCATTCGTTCGGACTCGGTGATGTGGTTCCACTCGTTGAGCTCCCGCAGGGTCTGGGCCACCTCTGGGGAGACCTCCGAAAGATCCAGGTGGTGAAGGATGATGTCGTGGCACTGGTCCCCGAGCTGACCATCCTTTCCAAAGTATGTTGTCAACCTCGGTCTTTGAATTCAAAGCAATCATTGAACTGATTGATTCCATGATTCCATAGTGTCGTCTTGAAGCACCTCTCTCTCTCTCTCTTACCAGGCGACGTTTGATCAAAGTCAGTGATCACCATCAGCCGCTTGGGCCCTGCATGTCGAAGCTGGTTCAGCAAGTCTCCAAAGTGAGGGCCAAAGCGAGACCCTGCAGGTGCGGCTGCCAACAATGGCGCCAATCCGCTCATGGCGTGGAAAATCTTTGAACAGGCTGAACCAGGTGGGCAAACAACCCGGGCTGGCCACTTGAACTTAGCTCCCTGGAAGTTGGACGAAGGTTCTTTTTGATGCTCCTTTGCACTGGCATCTGGCCTCTTTATCGTCAACTCACCACAAGTATGTCTACCAACACTGGCCCAAACTTGGGCATCCATCTGTCCCTGCCAAGCTTGGCCCAAAACAAACGCAGCAGCTGCATATATCATGACGATGGTCATCTTTAATGTATATAACAGGATTCCTGCAGTTCTTGCTCGACACAGAAACACGTCTCGCCTGCTCTTTCGCCTGCCACAGCAGCTTGGTGTTTTGACAGGTTGCACATTTCTCTGTATCAAACAGCCGAATGAACAGCTTTTCTGGGTAGAAACAGGGCGGGGAGAGGGCGACGATCTGCAAACTGGAGGTGCAAAGGACGACTCGAGTCCAAAACAAGCCTCCAAAGCCAACTTGAGCTTTCTGCTCCTTGGAAGAATGAATTGATCTGCAACACCCACAAATTGTTTGGCAACCGTCAAACTTAACTACACACTGACAACCAGTTGTCTCCTTTTCTGGCACAAAATACACTCGGCGACTTGCCGCTGAGGCTCCGCTTTGACTCTCCTTGGTGGCTTTCTGCAAAGCCTCCTTTGATTCTGCAAAACGGGATGGCATTAGCCATGCTAACCTGGCTCTTCTTGCTCAAACTGCAACTCTGTCTAAAATTAGAACCCAGCAACCCACAACGAAACGAAGCAACAAACGAAGTCTGAAGTCTGTTTCCTCATTTATTCCATTTCAGGCGCACCAGCTTCGCTCTACTTCTGGCACAGGCTGGCCTCAAAGGAACCGAGCTTGGGAGTTTGTCATGTACGCACCACTCAATGGACGCACTTGAAAAAAGGTTCAAGCTGGAAAGTCGAGCGAAACACATGAGCATCATGCACTCAACATTGCATTCATTCAACGACAGGGGTCCCGAGCTTCGACTTGGTGGGGAAGGCCTCACAAAAGAGCATCTGGTTTGGAGTATTACACTTTCCACCATCCACCTTCCATGACTACGTTCTGCACACAAATGGATTCAATGGATTCATCTCGTCCCGATGGATTTCTCGTCCCTTCACGATATCTCACGATCGATCGAGACTGGAACCGACACTCACCCAAAAGCAGCACTGTCGGAAAGAAGAACCGAACCGAAACCGAAGCCAAAATGAAGAAGAACCTTCAGGAATGGACATCACACCCCAAAAGAGCATGAAAGAACGCTTCATGATAGACGCTTGGAAGCGCTGTCGCGTTTGGACTTCTCTACAGCACTCCTAGCGTCTCATGCCTCGGCTGAAGCCAGGTCCCCACTGAAGGCTTGAAGCGAAAGTCCTTTGGAAATGCGAAACTGGTGGCGAATATCGCCAAAGGGCATCAAAAGCCAAGTCGAAGTGTCGTCGGTTCCGATCATCGATTGTTCTACTGAGCAACGAGTGGCTCATTTTGGGGCGGCGAAATGTGGACATACGTATCAAGATTCGGACACTTGGGTGAACCGAATCTATCTATCCACACTATGGTTCGTAGTAGTAGCTCCTGGCAATACTAGTAGTAACAAGAAGCTACTAGTAACAAAGGGCATCGCTACTAGGAGCAAGGAAGCTACTAGGGGCGCTCCTGGCTTCAACATAGTTGCACCGCTTCCGATCCGGAAGAAGGTGACGTCACACGTGTCGGTGACATCGCTGACAGACCCGTTGGGCTCTACACCCGTTTGAGCCGTTCATCTTTTCGTCTTCGTCCTCTGCCAACACAGGTGGTGGATCCTGGGTGCAACTGCCTCACGGACAAGCAAGATGAAGCAGAGCTGGACTCCTTTATTCCTTTGTGACACCTTCGGCCTTCCTTTGGTTTTTACACCCGCATGTGAAGGCCTCGAGGAGTGTCTCCATCCATCTTGGCTTCATTGCCTGATCAACTTCCCAAGAACAGCTTTTGCAGTTGAAGCCAAAACTTGCCAGGGGTTTTGATGCCAAAAGAAGTGTTCTTGTCGGTAAGAGCTAGCAAGGAGGAGTCAAGTTGAACAGACATGGTGTTTTAGATCCCCTTTTAGCTAGTAAGTCCGTGTCATTAATCGAGACTTCCAGTCATTCGCACAGTTCTTACTAGCCTGAATTCCAGTTCTTCACCTCTGTCTTATCTTCTTCCTCCATCGGTGCCATCTCCATCTCCATCTCGTCTTCCTCGTTCTCACCTAGTGCTTCAGTCTACTTCAGTGCACCGAAATCGCCTTCCTCGCTTGCTTCGGTCCGCGGTCCGCGGTCCGCGGTGCTTCGGTCTAAGTCGAGTGTCCCGTCGTCCGAGGCGCCTTCAGAGTCGAGGCGGTGACCAGGTGGTCGGAATGGCCTGGACCAAGGGCCTCCCTAAGAGCGGCCTCCCCCTTCAAACAAAAAAAATGGAATATATAAAGGAATCGTTCCAAACAGCAATACGGATGCTGCACTGCCTGACTGTTCAACTGGGATTGGAGGAGAGACATGGAGAGGCAGAAGAGGGGGAGAAAGAAGAAGAGAAATGGAGATTTGACAGAGTACAGAAGGAAGAAGATAGGGACGAAAGTCAGAGCTGAAAGAGTGAGGAAAGTCTTTCAGGGACGCCCTGTCTAGTTCTTTTCGTGCCTCCTTTCTCTCTACCCCTCTATTCTATTCTTTGCTTGAAGAAAGCCAATTTTGGGGACAAATGCCTTTGACCTGCAAAGCCCTCGATCGAATACCTTGGTCTCCAGAAGCGCCTTCTCATAAGCCAACTTCCCACCGAGGGCTTGTGCCGAAAGTGGCCCTGGAATTCCTGCGCTCAGTGAAAGTGCAGAAAGCAAGTGCTGAGTCGACCAAGCCTGAGAGAAATGTGTAACTTTTGTGAGACGAAAACCCAGTTGTATACAGTAGATTTATTGACAATTCGGCCCGAAGCAACAGCAGTGTCCTCGCTTTGCATGTGGGGCCTCCGACCAACATCTTCGATTCGCACATGCTACGGAGCTCGCCGTGGGATCCGTGGCTCGCTTTGTAAAAACAAAAAGGTGTTCTTTACTGTTTTGCACAAAACTGTTTTGCACAAAACACCGAGAATCCGAAGACCAACACAACATCCAACACGTGCTCAGTGATCAGGATCCGACCTCTCACGCCCCGAGTGATGCAAAAGCTGCTCCGTGAAGATGTGATCCTCAAGCGTGAACGAAGCACGAACGAAGCGCGAAGAGATGCTCACCTTGTGCTCCCTTTCATCTTCTTGTTACGTTCGTAGCTTCTTGTTCCTAGTAGTAAGGCCAGGAGCCCCTAGTAGCGTCCTTGCTCCTAGTAGCGCTGCCAGGAGCCCCTAGTAGCTTCTTGTTCCTAGTAGCGTCATTGATCTCAGATTCATCTTCTATAGTGGCCCTTTGTGCTCCCTTTCTTCAGAGGCAACTTAAAGTCTTCAAGCACAATCCGGACTTCACCTCCTCCACAGCAGGATTGTCTAGAGCCTTGGATGCTTCTAGGTGTTCAAGCACTTCGAGTAGTTTCCTGAAAATTCCATTAGGGCCGGGTGCAAAAACAACAAAAGTAGAATCTAGAAATGGTTGAAAAACCATTAGAGATGATGCAATATACCTGCTGTTGCACTGTATATGTGTTTCAATCGAAGTTCTCTTTCAGGCCCTGTTCACATCTGTTCACTGGATCTTCCGCAAACCTGAGGAGCTGACAACTACAGAAGGTGAGGAAGGAACCGACAGTATCTGAACGGTTCTTCAGGATGAAAAGCACACAGAAATCAATGAATTGGTGTTAAGGGAAAATCTACAGGACACCCTTGTTTTCACCCGCAAAACTATGGCTTTCAAGCAGATTTTCCCTGAAACCAATTCTGGGAAGAAAGCACTCCAATTCGGAAAAGACTTCGAACTTCATTCCTGGCCTTGGTCCGCCCCCAGAAGCTCCAACTGCGTTCGTCGCCTGCCTAGCGAAATGCGAAAGAAATGCATCTCTCCATTTCGATCGTTCCGCCCACAGTCGCAGACGAAAGAAACTCGAGAATCCCTTCACCTCCAGAGTTCTTCAGATTCAAAAGTCGATGTCTTGTTCATTCTTTGGGCCACACATCCATACCAAGAAGCTACTAGGAGCAAAGGGCCTCGCTACTAGGAGCAAAGGATGCTATTAGGTATCACGTCGGTACCGGAAGGTGTCCTCCTCCCGCAGCTCGGTCCGCACGTCCGTCACGTCGGTCCGCACGAGCTCCGCGTGGCAGCGCAGCAGCTCGGTGGCCGGCAGCGACACCCGCAGCCGCTGCAGCCGAGCCTCGACCAACGGAAGCGGAAGAAAAAATGCAAAGAATGAGAAGAAGGAAAGAAGGAAGGAAAGAAAAGGAAATAGAAAGGAGCAGACTTGAAAGAACTTAGGAAGAATCGAACAAAGGGATTTGTCTTTGTGGGACGTGTCTCGATCCACCAAACTAAATTGACAAAATGGCTTTCCTGCGATGGAATGCCAAAACCTGTCCTGTTCATGCTCCAAAAGCTGGCTAGAACGGCTTTTCACCACCAGGTTGCAGTACTCCGCCTGATGCAATTGAGAAAAGTGAAAACAATTAACAAATGTCTTCTCAGTCTTCTCAGTCGTCCAGACCAGCTTGCAAAGTCACTTAAGAACCAGTCGCCTTGTGTTTCGCTTCTGAAAAACCAGTGAGGACTTGGCACACTTGGGGATTTGCCCTTGCTCTGAGACAGTACTGCTAATTAACTGTGGAAAAGGAAAGACATGTTTCCAAACAGAAAAGGGAATGTCAAGGGACTCACCAAAGGATACATCAAAGCGAGTCGAGAGGTTTCTCCTGCAAGCGAAGTCGAGAGAGGTTCTCCTCACTCACCAGCGAGGCAAAGGTGACCTGCGAAGAAGATGTCCGGGGTCAATCCATTCGGCGACCCACCCATTCAATAACCCAGCAGGTCTGCCGAAGTAGTTTGGGAACAGTTTGGATCGGAAAAGTCCGCAAAACAACCATCAAGCGCCGTCCAACATCAGTGCCAACTTTCACAACTTCATTTGAAGTATCGATGATCACTTTCGACTCTTACGTCCTACTCGCAAGCATCACAATCAAACTTGCCGAAGCTAAACAAAGGCAGTCTTAGCTTGATTTTGTTTCTTCCTTTTTTTAGCCCGGTCCTACTTAATTAAGTAGGCGCCTACTTAATTATGTAAGGGAGTAAGTTACTGGGAACTCGTTCGCTCCTAGCTAGGATGCAGGATAGCTCCTTCAGAAGCGCTCGCACCATTTATTCACTAGGAAGGACTACTAGATTTTTTGCGGAAACCTAAATTGTCTAGGGTGGAGGCCGTCTCTATTAGGTTCCTTTTGCTAGGTTGGAGGCCATTGCTATTGTATAGTAACAAGTGCATCGCTACTAGTAGCAAGAAGCTACTAGCTTCGCTTAGCTTTGCATTCGCCCTTGGCGCCTTAGCGCCCTGTGCGCGCACATTGGCGGCCGCAGCACGGATACACCGAAGGGCGTAGCGCCACCACCTCAGCACCATCACGAAGGGGGTTCGTGAGGTCCCAAGGAAGAAGCGGTTCCCTGATTATTCATATAGAAATGCAAAGTGAAAAAAGAAAATGAACACCACATGGATGCCCAAGTGAATAAAGATCTGATGCCATGTAAAAGTTCGAGAGAATCTAATGTAAAGTACTTTCTTGCATGTAAACGTTGGAGAACTTGCAGTGGGCGCTTCAAGTAGGAACCCCGGCAGGATGCTGTTGCCGTGCACGTGCACAAGTGGCCGGTGCGGCCAATAGCTCTGGATCCAATGCCTTGTTACCTCCTGGCCCGGAATTGGGAAGCAGCTCCCGAGACACCATGATCACCATTGTCACACGGTCAGAGCTGCGCCTGAAACGCAAAGTATTCAGAGACCAGCGACATGATGCCGCAAAGGCCTGGCCAATGAAAAATATGGTGGCGACTTGGTCTGCATGTGAGGGACCAAACTTGGCTCACATGGTCTTCGCTTCCTATCTTTCTTTGCGTATCTTCTCATTAGTCACACCTTTCACCAACCCCGTTGAGAAATGTTGGCGCACCTCGATAGCCTGCAGCCGACACAAGCACCTGTGAGGCCCAAAGGAATGTTATACTCAGAGCCTATAGTCTGCCGTTCTGAACCTCTGATGGTTCTGTTGCATCGGCACTTCAAGCAGACTGCGGTGAGCTTTGCCCAAAAAGGTGGTCTTAGAGTTTGCCGGCCATTTTCATAATGGAAAGCTTGCGGTGTTTGCACCAAGAGGATTCAGGGAGATGATGTCTGTGTGGAACATGGAAAGGAAACTGGAGAGTTTTTGTTCCATGTTGTCATGAGAAGAGAAAAGGAACTACGCATGTCGGTCCATTAGCTCACCTTGATGGGCTCCAGCTCGCACTTCAGGTCGAAGCGTGGCGAGGAAGCCAAGGCCTCCACTGCTTGCAGGTACCAAACAGCATGAGATGAGGAGAGACAAGACACGAGATGGAAGAAACGCGTCCATCAGATCGGTTCGTTAGGAGAACAGCGAGATCGGGTCTTTGTGGAGAACACCTGGAATACCTGTCTTGGCAGTTCCCTACTAGGAACAAGAAGCTACTAGGGGCTCCTGGCCTTACTACTAGGAGCAAGGACGCTACTAGGAACAAAGGGAATCGCTACTAGGAGCAAGGACGCTACTAGGGGCTCCTGGCCATACTACTAGGAGCAAGAATTCTGTTCCATGTCGCATCTGCGGTGTCGCTCGGTGGCCTGAGTGAGCTTCAGGTGTGCGCTGCACGGCGGGAGGAGGTAGATGATGCGCCCCTGAGCCAGCTGCACTGCCTGGACCATTTGTAGCCAATTGTTTTGTTCCAAACACGTGGAGATTTACAATCTTACCTGGAACATGCAGATTGAAGCTAAGAGTTCAACAACAAACTGAAGGAAAAGGATGGAAAAAGTGTCCTTTTTGCTGTATCAACGCGGTCTCTTTCCGGTCAATGGTTTGAGTAGTCGGAGTGGCTCATACGGATTGCCTCTAAATAAAAGGTCCGCCAAGACAGAATCATTTCAAGACGCCTTGAGCAATCCATTGCGGTTGGGGGCCATGGCTCTTAGGTTGGAGGCCGTCGCAATTAGGTTGTCAAAGCTCTCCGGTGCTTTTGGGAATGTTTCCTCAAGCGCCTCTGGCCGATCAAAGCATCGTCGGAAGTCCTGAGATCGAAGCTTCCCGGATTGTTACCAAAAACTGCTGCTACAAAGCTGTTCTGCAAAAACGTAAAGCTGTCAACGTAAAGCTGTCATGCTGCTTCTACGCCAAGTGCTTGGAAATGTTGGAAGTAAATAGGCATGGCCCACAGTGGCCCCTACAGTCTCACGCCCTACACGTTCAGGATCGTTCAGGGCTTTGAAGGCGCCTCTTGACCCTTCACTCGAGAACCGTTCAGCAAGGTCTCCTCGTTTTCCTTTGTCCTTCCACGGTTTCCCTAGCCTTCAAAAAGCATGAAAAGGATGGTTAACCTGGTTTTGTAGTCTAAAGCCCTTAGTAAAACAATGTTTGTTTGGCAAAGACCATTAAAGCAGTTGTTGGACTCCCAGGGTTTTGTGTCAAACGGACCGCGAAGAGCAGGACCGGGCGCCCTCGCCTCAAACGAACACTCACTGGTACGCAGCGCCCAGACCGGTGCGGATCCTCATCAGTCCACTCTCGAGGATCAATGCGGCGTGCCCAACCTCGCCGCTACACTCGACACACCGCGATCGGCTTGGATTCAGCTAGATCTGTGAAGTGAGATCTGAAAATAGAGTCAACTCTGTGTGTGTGTGTTGTGTTTGTGATTGTTATGATGTCTATCCAAGTCGGCCATCACAGCAAATTACTTTGGTGGCTTCAGTGAGCTGGGTGCTGTGTCGGAATCCGGTACAGATAATAAGTTGGTTGGAGCAGACCATTGAAATGCATGAAAAGCACTTTTATGGCAGAGAACACCTGTTTAGCTTCCTACCGTGACTGAAAACACTTGTTCAGTGAGTTGCAAACGAAACCTCGAGGTTTCCTGTACATCTCCGTCCCACTCTTGGAGACGGTTCAGAAAAATATCTTCCCTTTAATTTTTGAATGCAATACTGCACACCTTAAGCTTACTTTACAAAAAAGGCCGCCTAAGCTTATTCATCGATCGGATCTGGCAGCGGGGCCACCACACTCTTGCTCTTGCGTTTTGTCCATGGAAACAATTTCCTTGGAACTCGAGCCTGAAAGACTTTGGGCACAGTGTGGGCAAGAATCAAAGATGCACCCAGCAAGGCCACCGAATGACCCAGAAGGAGAAGCAAAATCACGGCGAAGAAGACAAGAAGCTCAAGAAGCTGGCTCACAGGCATCAGCTCACTCTCCACCCACACAAAAGTCTTCTTCAGTCGCATGACACATGAACTGCCTGAACTGACACTGTCATGCTCTTCAACCTCCCTGTTCAGCATGACTGCAAGTTCTTCATGTCCATTCCCCTGAGCCAACTGTGCGGCAGTGGTCCCTGATGCCCTGAGCAAAGGGTCGGCCCCTCGGTGGAGCAAGTGGCGACAAAGATCAGCATGGCCACCACAGGCCGCCCACATCAGCGGTGTCCGCAACTTTGCAGAGTCTCGATGCTCGATCGAAGCACCATCGTCCAGCAAAGCACAAAGCTTTGGCAAGTCTCCACGATAAGCGGCACCGTCGAAACCCACAAGTTCTGCACTCAAGTCTGACAAAGACCGCTTCACCAACACCAAGGTCACTTTCTCCGCTTTCTCTTCAGTGTCTAGTGCTGCCAAATCTCCAGTCACCAAGCGATCCTGGTGTAAGAGCCAGAAAGGGCCATCAACTTCACAGACCTCTTTGATTCGTTCGCGTAGTTTCGACAAGCCCTCTGATCGAAGGTGTTGAACCTCTGCCAGCAGCTGGCCACTCATCAATCTGATTTCCAGCTCAACAAGCTCCGCAGGCTCAGGCTCCAGATGCTGAAGCTCAGGACAAAGCGGACTGTTCTTCGGCATCTCCATGCGAACCCACATGGCTCGAAGGCCTCGAATCTTCTGTCCAAACCCCGGACCGTGCAATCAATCTGCAAGTGGAACTAGAGAGACCTCCAACCTAGTAGCAATGGCCTCCACCCTGGAGCAATGGCCTCCAACTTAGTAGCGATCAATCTGCAAGTGGACAAATCTCTAGTTGTTTGGAATGTCTGCTGATGCATGGAGCTTATGGTCACCGGCTTTGAGATCGAATCAGCAACTCGTCAAATTCATACAGATTGTTCTTGCCAATACTTAGGATGATTTATTCCATCTTTCCACTGTGCTGTCGCTTTTCAATCTGTTCCGACAAAAGAAAGCTTCAAACAATAAAGCGACGTGGCAAACATCTGACGCTTCGCCTGGCGGCTCGTGGTAGCAACTCAAGTCCCTGGAAAGATGTCCAACGAAGGGACGAAGGGACGAAGTACGGGCCCACCGAAGGAACGAAAGGACCCCGAAGGTATGACCGAACGAGAAGGAAAACCTTGAGAAAGCCACTTCCAGCACCTGTTAGTGTTCAAATTGAGAAAGCGACCTCTCTATATAAAAGGACCCACGCGGAAGACAAAAGCAAGTAAAAGCGTCAAAAAGAATGTAAAAGTCGTGTTCCATCACTTCGTCTCTTTTCATCACCGCCTGAGTCTCAGCAGCTTAAAGAGCTCGCTGCGATCGGAGCGCTCGATGAAGCTGGGCTGCCAGTTAGAGCCTGTATGCACGGTCTTGGACTTCACTGCCCGCTTCTTGAAAAAGAACATGGAAAAAATTAGAAGACTAAGGGGTGTGTTTTTCTGTTTTATTGTGTCCTTATTTCTTTTGTGCACATATTTGCCCAGTAGACTCTGGACATCGTTGATTTTATATTCTGTGTGTGTGTCCTTTAAAGATATTCACTGTTCCTATCCTTGTTTCTTTAAACTTTGTCACTTGTCTCATCGCTTTTCCCTAATGTTCTTCCCTGTCTCCCCATTTAGGGAAGCTAGTAGTAACAAGTGCATCGCTAGTAGTAACAAGTGCCTTACTAGTAGTAACAATGTTTGCTATTAGAAACAAGTGCCACGCTACTGGGAACAGGTGCCTTACTAGTAGTAAGAAGGACGCTACTAGGAACAAGTGCCACGCTACTAGGAACAGGTGCCTTACTAGTAGTAAGAAGGACGCTACTAGGTTCTCAGATCTTCTCGCAAACACTGGAAAGCACAGTTGCATCTTTTGCCGTCAAGCCGAAGTCTGAGTTTGTGCTTCGTAGCCTTTTTGGCCGCGCTTTCCATCCGAAGCTGATCTCGCCATAGAGCTCCACGTGGGTCGTTGTCTTGCCATCCGAGGTGTCATAGCCATGCCCTCCGTGATCTTCGTCACCGAAGTTGCCTAAGGCATAGTCCTCGCTCACATTGCCCATTGATCCCACCTTCATGGAGCTTTGTAGTCCTGTTGGCGTGTCAGCAACCCTTTGTTTTGGCTTCTCTTGGTGTCGGGGCGCCGCCTCATAGCCCTTGTTCTTCCTTGGTGCGAGAAGTTGGCCATCTGCACCAGCCATGCCCTTCGCGAGGTCCCTCTGGCGCTCATGCGACTCCCAAAGATAGCCATGGAATGCATCTGAATTCCATCTCCCAAACCTTTTGACCACGTCCAAGTCCTTCGTGGTCTGATACATTGCCGTTGCTCCTCCAATACGGAGGCTGCGCGAACCATACCGGGTCGTAGATTGTCCATCTGCCACCGCTGCCAGCTGGATCAAGTTCTGAATGTCCCCGCGCTGCAACGGCTTGCCATCCTCGAACCTGAACAGGGGCTGATTTTCTTCTGCTCCTGCAAAACGTTCAGGCTTGATGCTCTGGTAGTCCGCGAGGGCGCTGACCACACACAACTCGCTGCCACTCTTGAACTGGTTGCGCACTGTGCCCTGGTATTGATCTGTCTTAGATCCTTTAAGGTAGATCACCACCTCCTCCGCCTGGTGGAAGTTCGTCACCTGCATGTTGTCCTTGCGCGCCTCAATGTCGCTGCCCTTCAGGGTGCGTGTGCTGCCCCACGATCGACCGACCGTGACTAAGAACTCTGAGGCCCGCAGCAGGAAGAAGAATCCCACCATAATGGCAGCCCAAAGGATCACTTGATCACCCTTGCTCAGAGTGTCACAAGAGCTCAGATGGCGACGGATCCAGACAAGCATGCCCGGGAGCACCGGATACTTGCGCTTCGTCTCCGGTTGCCATCGCTTGAAGCCATTCAGCGCCGCCCAGATGCGGACCCGGTTCAAGGTGGGGTCATCGTGTCCAGCCACCAGGTGGCCCATCTTGATAGCGAAGAGCCTCTGCTTCACGGTGCCTTCTGTCCCTTGCATGACGTGTGCCAGGTAGGTCATGAATCTCAGAAGCTCGTCCTCATCGGCCTTCCTCTCGTCCTTGGTCTCCCCGGTGAGGTAGACGCCAGAGGCACCACTGCTTCCACCCGACCTCGTAGCCCGCACGCGTGCCCTCCGAGAGCTTAGACATCACCGCCTCAGCCGCCAATGCGTCCAACCATGCCCGGTCACGTTGTAGTTCCTGATTTGCGTCCAGTTGAAGTCGTTCTAGACCTCGCCCAATAGCGCTTGGAAGCACCAGACGGTCAGGGGGAGCGGACTTCGCTCTCTTCAACCCAGTCTGCCTGCGTCCTCCGATCTTCTCGAGGGCCTCCGGGTCTTGCCGCTGGGTTGCCATCCACCTCTCATAGCTGGCCCTAGGGTTCTGATGATCCCCTTGCCAGGCCCTCATCCATGCTTTCACCTGCTCATCAGCCTTGGCTCTGTCAGCGTCGAAGCACACTCCCACACGCTCTTGCGCCGCTGGGTCAGCTTCTGGTCGATCTTGCCTCCAACGCTCGAACCAAGCGACCAGCCTGTGGGCACTCTGCTGTGGGAACTTCATGGCCGCGTCCTTCTTGAAGAAGTCCTGTTTCGTCCCGAGCTCGTGCAGCATGTGAACGTCCTCGAGGCGCCCACCATTGAGAAGCCACTCTTCTTCTGCGCCAAGCCGCCTTGCTTGCACTTCTGCGCCTCGATGATCAAGCACAATCATGGATTTGCCTCTCCTGCAGGTTAACGCAGGCCCGCGGATGTCGTAGATGAGCTCCTTGGTTTCTCCATCCTGGCTGCTAGCAAAATGCCCTGCAGGCCAGGGGAGCACGCGATCTCCTGAAGTGGAGATTTTGTGGTTCACGCTCACCACCGTGTCCGGGTCGAGCCACTGAGGTCTCACTGAGCCCACCGCAGGGTCCAGCGTTCTCTGTATGCTAGTTGGCTCAGCCGCGCGCCTTGGGGGCATGGAGGCTTCCTGAATGGTCTCACCTTTTCGCACGCGGCTCCCAAGGATAATGACTTTCCTCTTCGCCGCCGGATCTCCATAGTGGGTGGTCAGGCAGTCAAAGGTGTGCACGATGTAGCTCAGCCTCATCAAGCCGTTCTTAATCTCCTCAACCGGTCCGCCCTTTGCAATGTCAATCAGCACATTCGCTGGGAGGTGCTTCTTCACGAATTGCTTGATGTAGGTCCGACTCCCGAACACCCACACCAGGTCCGTCTCGTCTGTCAGCGGGGCGCTGCCCTTGAGGTTCGATTCCTCGAGCTTCTCGTCCATGGGTGTGCCCTGCTGACCGACCTTGCAAACCTGACCCCCCAGTCGATCCCATGCGATCGCCCAGGGCAACCTGCCCCTGCCCAACTCCACAGCACAGCCAGTGGCTACAATCGGGCAGTAGGGCTTATGCGCCACATCCACCGCTTGGGTCAAACTCCCGAGGGCTTCGCCGCCCGGCCACCTGAAGATGCCCGCCACAGACTCGTCGATGTAGTGGCCCCAATCCTCCTTCACGTCGACCTTAATCCAACCGTCCAGCTCCATCTTGTCCTCAACGACCTTCTTGGTCTCCCTGCTCAACCAGTCGGCGGTGACGTTGTGATAGGTCCTGATGTAGAAGGCCACCGTCTTGAAGTGGTAGCGAACCTCCAACATCCCCAAGATGCGGATGATGTGGCGTGCGATGGCGCACTTCGATTGCCGTTTGGTGAGCCAGGAGCGAACATTCTGGTTGTCCGTCGCATAGGCGACGAGTTCACCGTGCCATCCATGGCTTTCAGCAGCGGCGAGTCCAGCGTAGCAAAGTAGCTCCGCAATGGCGATCTTCATCTCCGGCTCCTCAGCCAACGGGCACTCTTCCAAGCGCTTTAAGCATCTCCTTGGCGTCCTCGCGCATGTAGTGCTTTGCCTTCCAATCAAGGGCTCCCGCCACCTCTGGAGTGGCGTCGCCTCCCACCCAGCGCAGCCTTTCTCTCATGCCCGGGAGTGCTAAGAGCTCTCTCGTAGTCAGCATGCTTTCCATGGTGGACTCGAAGGTGCCCTCATAGGGTGTCTCAAACCACAGCCTCAGCAACGCCAGCATCTCGTCCCAGCACCGCCACGCTCGGGCCTCACGTCCTCCGAATTGCAATTCCGGGAGCGCCAAGAGGTATCTCATCTTCAAGGCTTTGGGCTCGGGCAGTCTAATCGTCATGCTCTCCACGTTCATGAACAGGCCCCACACGATCTGTTCTGTTCCTCAATCTGCTTCTCCAGATTCAGCGCCGCCTGGCCCCAAATCTTCTCGATCGCATGCCCCAAGGAATCCACGGCTTGCCAGGGCCGTACCCCCACCATGGGCTCAACAATGACGCTATCGTCCATCAACCATTCGGAGGAGAACGGAGTCGGACCATTGACCTGCTCGTCTGCGGGCTTGAAGTTCTCGTGGTACGCTCTTCCTGCCAGTGCGAAGGCCATGTATTCTCCGGGGGCTCCGCACCAGCCAAAGGGGAGACCCCCGTAGATCATCTTCACTCTTCCTTCAACTCCAACTGGGCCCCCAGGAAGCGCGCTCCCAAAGTCCGAGGTGTCCTCAGGAGCGACATCATGCCATTTGAATGCCCTGCTCACGTCCAGCTTGGCGATGAAGCACCTGATCCCAGGGCGGCGGGCTCCCCACCAGATCGCCTTCCTGGCAATCTGGCGATGGCGCGGCTGCACGGCCGGCGGGTGCTGGAATTTGTGGGTGGCCGCGTTAATTTGCAGTCATCATGGCGTGGATTGGGCGACCTTCAGTGCTGATGCTCCGATCAGGTAGCTGCTTCGGCACTCGTCCTTGCGGGCATTCGACGAGGTTCCGGGTGCACTCTTCCGTCTTGTCGGAGGCGAAGAGCACAATGCCCCAATGACCATCCTTCCAGGCCTTCTGGTAAATCTCCTCGATGTTGTCCACAGCGGAGGGATATATGGTTCTGCCTTCAGCCTCCTGGGCGAGTAGTACCTGCGTGCGCGAACCCCCCCCGCGTTCATAGCCTTGAGGTAGTCCGCGTGGTTGGCGTCCAAGCATTCTAGTACCTCCTTCGTAGTGGCGCCTGCTGTAGGGACCCCAATGGTTCGACGCCTTGCTTCACGAAGACCTTGCATTGCCTTCTCCAAGGTGCCGGCTGATCTCAGAAGGTCATCACCAAGGGCGACTGCTGTCCTGATCACCTGGGTGTCATACTTCGGGTGGCTCTTGCAGTGTTCCATGTACTTCATGGCTCGATCGAGCACCTCACTGCGCGGCTCCTCCATCAAGCTCTGGTCGTCCATGTAGCCAACCTGGCATTGTTCACCGGGTTCGAGGCAATGACCCAACCATCCACAAGTTTGCTCCTCCTCATACTCCAGTACCTGAGAAGCGGCCAGGTAGCCTACCCTCCTGTCTGAGCCATCGTCATCCCTCGAAGGGGCCAAACCCCTGGACCTGGATCTTGAGCGCTGTCTGCCGGTCGTCAGAGCTCCAATGCGTCCACCATGCCATGGGTCCCAAACACCTCCGCCTGGATAGTACCTCCTCGCTGCTTCCACCTGTTCCCTCGTGGGGGGTTGAAACTCTCGAGGTGACCTGAATGCCGGCGCCATGTCACGCCCTTCTGGAAGCACCGGTTGAAGCCCCCCATCAGCTTCAGAATCAGGATCTTCACCTCCCCTTCTTCTTGCCCGTGCCCCAAGTCTCTCCCCAACTCTGGTCTGATCTCCGGGTCGTAGAGGTAGAACGTGGTGGCACCAGTCCAGTCGGCATACTCGGCCTCGATTGCGTCCGGGATGTCACGCAGCCTTGCAAGGTCAACTCTCCAGTTGTCCAAAAACACCCTCTCTTGCGGAACGACCTCTGAAAGGTCCCGCCTCTGAGGGTACATCCAGGTCCGGCGGTCACTACGGATCAAGTGGTCTGACACTGGGCAGTCCACCCAATCACCATAGTGCGACCCAAACATAGATCTCCTGCGCATCACATGATGGCGAACAAGGAAGAGCGTGTCCTCCTGGTAGTCCCACCAGTCCTCAGAGCGCCCATTGATGCCCTCTAGCGGTTGTGGTGGCCCGAAGACATTGATGCCTCCCTCGTAGGGTCGTACCGGTGCCACTGCTTCTCCTGGATTTACCTCTCTCGGATCGCTCAGGGTCTCCTCCTCCTCTTCTTCCTCCTCCAAAGGCTCTTCTTCTGGTGGAACAGGAATTCCGTGAGCGAACTCGCTCTCTCCAACGCTGCCGCAATGGTGCCCACGAAGAAGTTGGATGCCTCCGTGGAACTCAGAGTACTCTGCACTGCCGCAGCGTCCATCTGTCCTGTAGGAAGTCGAGCGAGCTGGCTGATCTGTCTTTTCCGACGTCGCGGTTGAAGAAGAAGAAGTGGAAGAAGATGGGTGGGGCCTCGAGTCCTGTGCTCTGCTCGCTGTCCTGTGTGGGAGTGCCCCTTCTCGGCCATTGTCCTTCTGTATGACCTCCAGCGCTTGCGCCACCTGGATTGTGTCCCAACCAGCATAGGCCGCCTGCACCACGAGCGCCCATCCTTTGCAGAGGCGTCCAGGGTATACCTGTGCGCGACGAGTTCGAGGAACTCCTGGGATGTCCGACTCGCCCTTGACGTCCATGTGTTTGTGATTGCCCTGGCAGCGTCGTGACAACAACAATGCGTGGAGGTATAGGCCAGGTGACACTAAGTTCCACTGGCCCTTTTTGTACCTCATCTCTGGCCTGTCGCTGGGTGCTGCACCCCATTCGCACAAGTGGGTCGGCACGATGAGAGCTCCAGTCGATTGTTGCAGCCTCTGAACGGCTGGTTGATCCCAAATCTTGGGATATCTACCTGAAGGCATCGAGGACTCAAGCACGAACTCCTTGTCATGGGCATAGAGCAGCTCGCACATCCGGCAGGTGAGCTCGCAGAAGTAGTTACCCTCCTCCTCGCTCTTCGTCGGATCTGGGCCTCCTTCGGGCGAAGTGAAGCTACGTGTTCCTCCGTTCAGGATGTTGTTGTCACAGTAGCTTGCGCAGGGCGTTCCAAATTCCCAGACATTCGCTGTGGATGGTCCTGGAAGTTCAGCTGCTGCTTGGAGATAGTGGTTGGCCACGGCCTCGTCCTTCAAGTCGAAGTGGCTGCGCCTGTCCCGCTTTTGAAGGGGGTCTCCAAACAGCTCGACCGGCTCGTTGGCTGCCATGCCTGCTTCTCGCATCGCCTGTGTCCATGTCCCTGAGCCAGCAAAGACCTCTTGCACCCTCACTCCATACGCGAATGAGGGTCGGTGTTTCAAGGGTGTCTGTGCTCCCATCAGGATCAGCTCCTGGGTGTCCACTGGGTGTTCGTTGAAGCTCCATGGCACCTGCGGCTGTCCCTTCCCCTGCTTAGGGTTGTTGTCAAGGCATCTAGGGCATTTGGGTCGTTTTCCAGGCACAAGGGGGGCAGCTGTGTCCTCATTTGCTAGGAACTCCCTCCAGCCTTCACATTGCCATTCTCTGCCCACTTGCCCGTTGAGGGTTAGCTCAGCAGCCACTTTGATTGGTTCCTCCTTCTCATTCGGCACGAGAAGCCGGATGTGACCACCATGGATCAGGAATGGGATGATCTGCCCTTCACTGCCTGGCTGGCTCCCCACAAGGTGGTCCACCTGGAATTGACCGCAGCAGTTCAACCTCCAGCATTGGAGTGTGACTTCACGAAGTTCGTCCAGCACGAAAGCCTGGAAGAGCCTGTAGTCCTTGTCGTGGTTTGCTCGAAGACAATCATGGGCGTAGCCACGAACTTCAGCTTCGCGTGCTCCAATCCACGGTGCTGGATCGCCTAGTTCTGCGACTGCTCTTGCAGCTTCATCCCAAAGGCCTGCCCTGAACGATTGCGCCTTCTGCTTGACCTCCTCAATGGTTGGCCTGCGCTCCGGGTCCCAGTCGCCTTCCCATAATCGGATGCCTGCTGCTGGATGAAGCACAAGACATTGACGTTCTTCGTCTTCTCCAGGTTGTAGCCCCAACGCACTGGCCAGCTCGTCCGAGACGGGGAGCTTGTCCTTGTAGTCCAAGTAGCGCCAGCTGATGCGCTTATCTCCACATTGGAATTCGAACTTACCTTCACCATAGCCCTTGTCCCTGTACCAGGTAGGTGCGCTGATCCATGCCTGCTTTTCATCGTCGACCCAACCCACTGAACGCTCCTCATTGAGGACCTTCTCAGCTTCTTGTGCGAGTTCCGGGCAGCCCTTCTCGGTTGCCTCGAGGAGCACCTCGTCGACAGTCATCTCCTGCTTTTCAATGACCGCATTCAGCATCCTCCCCCGCACGTGAGACTGAAGGTAGCTGGACCATTGATTCAGCCTTGCGAACGTCCCCGCTTTCTCCATCTCTTCGAGGACCTTCAGCCTTCGAAGGGCTTCGGGGTGTTCGACTCGTCTGTCCCAAGTCGTATAGCACTTGTGCCCGGGTTCAAGCATTGGGTCCCGTGTCAGCTCCCTCAGCTCATCTTCCAACTGAGTGTACTGGACCCCCTCATACTCTTCCGGGGGTAGCCAACCCTGCTTCTGGACGCCGTCCTTCACCTTCTCGTCATGCTCCGCCTTCGCCTGCGTCCGGAGTTGAGCGATGCGTCCTTCAATCCACCACGTCGGATCAGCTGTGCCAAAACGGTCCAACGCAGTCCCTTCGTAGTGGTGATAGGCTGGTGGGCGTGGTTGCAATCCTTGCCCCTGCCGCATCCCATGTGCGTGGCTCCATCCCAACAAATGGGCTTGCCCTCCTTTGTCCGGGGTCCGTGCTTCACCGACTCAGCTGCCTCCTTGGGTCTAAGCCTCTTGCCAGCCGGGTATGCCTTCTTCTCATCGCGCTCCTTCTCCTTCTTCTTCTTGTCCTTGTCACCAGCACGGTCACGACCTCGGCCAACTCGATCTTCATCGCCGCCCGCATCACCTCCTTGGCCGTCTCCGTCGAGGTGAGGTTGATCGCCACCCACCTTAGGCGCTTGGCGCTTGTGGTGCAGCTGGCTATAGATGATGCCCTTCAAGGCTCTTGCCTGCCGTGGTACACATACCTGCTGGTAATAGCCATCAGGGTGCGCTAGGTCAAAGGTTCTGGGGAAATGGAAGCCACTGTCAGGCGCGAGTGCCACAAACTTGAGGTCCTCCTTGCGGGGGTTGTCGGTGTTCAGGATCCTGCAAAGTTGCCTGCGACTCTCCCTCAACTCCTCGACCCAGGCGGCTTTGAGCTCCTCCCACAGGCTGTAGCAGTAGTTCTCTGGCCAAACATCTGAGTCTTGTTCGTGCGCCCGCTCGATCTGGTCCAAGGCCTTGAGTCTCTCCTTCTTGTGCTCCAGGCCCAAAACTGAACCCAACATCTTGATCTCGTTCCGCGCCTGCTTCAACCATGTTGCAAAGTGTGTGGGGTACCTCGGCTTGGGCTCAATCTTATCATCCTTCGGGGCCTCGTACTGGTCGAAGTCTCTCGGCTTGGCCGTCACCGCATGCGCCACACTAAGCTGCCATGGAGCCAGAGTGGTGTGATCCTTTCCGCCATGTTGCATCGCTGCCAGTCCATAAGCTATGCCGTTCGTCACCAGACATGGCCATTCGATCTGCTGCAGCTTTGCCTTGGCGTGGGAACATGCTCTCTTCAGGGCGTCGAAGAGCTCCTTTCCGGTGACGTTGGGGCACACCTCCACGGTCAATGTGTTGCAGCCACGTGCAAGGTAGACATCTCCTGTGCTATAGCCACCTGTTAGTGGCTAAGCACCCCCTGAGCCCAAACTCCAGGTGCGAACGGCTCATAGAACCTTACGTTTTCCCTGGATCAAACTTTCATGAACAAGTGCCACGCTACTAGGAACAGGTGCCTTACTAGTAGTAAGA